AAACAGCTGCCGAAATTTCTCACGACCCTACTGGATAACAGGAAAAACTTATTCACTGTTAGAACAGCGAGGCAGTGGAATAGACTCCCTAGGGAAGTTGTGAACTCTTCCTTACTGGAGGTGTTCAAGAAGAGGGAAGACAGGCATTGGTTGGGGGATGATCAAGGAGTAGCTATGTTTATATTATATTATAGGTATTTCTGACATCATGCAGTGAGTCAATACAGTACACATGCTGTATGCAGTGCAGGGGCCAGACCTGCCTTGCACACTGGCTCCAGGACCAGTACACAGAGCAGGTCTACCACCGCATTTAGAACGCGCATCAGACCAGCTTTGCATGCTGCATACAATACACAGGGCCAGAGCCACCATGTGCCACACACAGAGAGGAGTCAGTCCAAGACCCACAAACTGAATCCTGGGGTTCCATGGGTCGGATCCAGCCCATGGACTGTACCTTTGACATCTGGGGGTGAGATAATGGATTTGTATAGAATGGTTTGTCTGCAAGTGACCCTGCTTCATGCAGGCAGTTGGACTAGGCCTGGAGATGCCTTCCAGTCCTACTTTTTATGATTCTGTCACTGAATCCCATCTCAGCTTTCTTATTTTGTCAGCCTAACACAACCCAACCCATCCTAAAAATCGCCAATTTTGTTTTGAAACGGTGTAATTTCAGAAGATTGGAACGTTTCAAGGGCTGTGAAGGCACAGCAGTAATTAGAATAATAAAATGATTTAAAAACTAACATGACTTGCAAGTCAAAGCAAGTGATTCTTCCACTCTAACTTGGAACTGGTAAAACCTCACATGGAGTACTATGTGCAGTTTTGGGCACCACACTTCAAGAAAGATGTGGAAAAATTTGGAGTCCAGTGGGAATCAACAAAAATTATTAGATGCCTGAGAAATATGATTTACTGAAAGACTTGGGATTATGGGTAAAACTTGTTCAGGAAGGACAGGCAAGAGAAAAAAGAAAAGAAGTGGAGTTGTTCTGAGGTGCATTACGAAGTGGGAGGTAGGCCTGTTGAAAGCTGCTGGGTAAAAAGTCAGAGACGAGAGCAATAGTGGGGCATCACAGTAAGCATCTGCTATAGGCCATTAAACAAGGAAGAAGAGGTCGAAAACACCTTCCTTAAGAAACCAGTGGAAGCTTCCAAATCGCAAGATCTGGTTCTCATAGGGGACTTATCTGTGACATCTGCTGAGAGAGAAACAGCAGCATACAGGCAGTCCAGTAAATTCCTGGAACATGCTGGGGATGACTTTTTTGGTTCAGGTGGTAAAAAGACCAACTAAAGGAAGCTGCTCACAGAGGCAGGAATTGGTCGTGAATATGAAGGTGGAAGGTAATTTGGGTGATAGTGATCATGAAATGACAGGGAGGGAGGGAAGAGACTAACAGAATTAAAAAAAAAATTGGAATTCAAAAGCCAGGAGAGCTGGCTGAATTTTATGGAGGTCCTTTTAAAGTCATAAAAGCAAAGTATCTCAAGGAGAAAGAACAGTGATTCTCAATCTTTGACATCTTTCAAAGGCACTGGAGGGTTCCACAGAACGTTAGCCCTGTTAGGTATGCAAGCATAATTCACTTGATAAACTCACAGGCTATGTCTAGACATGCGTGGATGTTTGGTTCCCCGGGGACAACTAATGGTTGCACACCTTGCACAACTGCTAGTTGTCCTTGGGGAACGCCAATGCCACCTGTGCTCTGGTGCGTGGCTAGTTACCCTAGGTGGGGTAGGGGAGGCTGGGGCCAGCACTGGGCTGGCTCCAGCAGCCTTACCTGGGGTCCTGGAGCTGCAGCAATGGCTATCCTGCCACATGGAGCCTGGCTAGCAGTGAAATGCAGCTCTGGCCAGTCAGGCTCCAGCTTCAGATGATGCATGCTACTGCTGCATGTACCATTCCACTTTTTTTTTCCTGTGGGTTTTTTTGACCCCTGGATATCCAGGGGTCAATAAAGAAATAAAGAAATAAAAATCCTCCGTACTGCTCCTTGCAGGGCAGAGATCAACTAAATGTGCAGTACGTAACGCTGCAGACACATATGCAGTGCTACATACCACACTGCCATGCTCATCTGGACACGGCCAGAGATTTCAAATAAGAAACCCTAGTCTTAAAAACATTTTGGCCTGTTACAGTGTTTCTGAGTTCGGTGCGATGTAAGGACTGCTCTACTTTTTTTTTTCTGTAGTCAAAAAAAAGTGTGAAAAAATAAACTGGCATTTTCCAAGAAATGACTTGAGTCTAAAAAGGTTGAGAACCACTGCGATAGAAGAACAGAAAGTGCAACAGGAAACTAACGTGACTAAACAGCAATTGCTTCAAAGAGCTGAAGCACACAAACGTATTCTACAAAAAGTGAAAACTTGATCGTATTACTATAGAAGAGTATCACATGGGAATGCAGGAAGAAAGTCAGGAAGGCCAAGGCACATTTTGAGATACAAGGAGCAAGGGACAGAAAAGGCCACAAAAAGGGATTCTACAAGTATGTGAGATGAGAGAGGAAGACCAAAGAAAATGTAAGTCTGTTCCTAAATTCAGAAGGCAACCTATAGATGACACAGAGATGGCTGAAGTACTTAATGCTTTTTTTTAACTTCACTTCACAAATAAGGTCAGCTACGAGATGATGAGCCCACTTGGCATCAAAGATAGGGAGAGAGACAAAACAGTCTAGAGCAGTGGAAGAACAAGTTAGGGATTTCTTAGGGAAAATAGATGCTTTCAAGTCCACAGGGCAGGCTAGGATACATTCTAGGTACTGATGGAATTAGTTGAGGTAATTTCAGACCAATTGGCTATTCTTTTTGAGAAACAGTGGAGGTCAGATAAAGGTCCCAAATGACTGGAAAAGAGCAAATATAATGTCCAACTTTAAGAAAAAGAAGAAAGATCCAGAGAATTGCATAGCCAGCCTGACCTTGACCCTAGAAATATCATGGAATAGGTCCTTAAGGAATCTATTGCAGAGTACCTAGAAGAGAACGAGATGATCAAGAACAACCAAGCATGAATTCACTTAACAGCAAGTCATACCTGTCCAACTTGATTTCCTTTTACAACTAGGTGACAGGCTCTACAGTTGGGGGAGAACAGTGGATGTGATGTACCTTGACTTTTAGTAAGGCTTTTGACACCATATCTATATGTCACTCTCATTAAGAAGCTAAGGAAAAACAAACTAGATGGAAGTACAGCAAAGTGGATCCAAAGCTGGTTGGATCAACATGCTCAGCAAGTAGTCATCAATGGGTCAATGTCTACCTAATGGGAAGGAGGTACGAAGCAGGGTTTTGGTATTGTTTAACATCTTCATTAATGATGTGGATGATGGGACTGAATGCATGCTTAGCAAATTTGTGGATAACACCAAGTTGGGCTGAGTTGCAGATATTCTGGAGAGTAGGCCTAGGGTCCAGAATGACCTGGATAAACTAGAAAAATGGTCCAAAAATCAAATCACTTGAAATTAAACAAGGACAAGCACATAAAGTCCTATGCTTGCAAGAAAATAAGTGCAAGTGTGAATACAGAGTGGAGAATGATTGGCTAGGCTGCAGTACTGAAGAGATGGATCTGGAGGTAGTAGTGGACCACAAGATGAATATGAACCAGTGTGCTCTTGCTGGGGAAAAAAATCCCCACAAAACAAATCAAAACAAAACTACAACAGCATACCAGCTTGTATGGACAGGACTGCTGCTTGCAAGTCAAGGAAAGGGATACTTCTATTCTGTTTGGAACTCATGAGGCCTCACCTGTGGTACTGTGTCCAGTTCAGACCCACTCTTCAAAAAGGATGTGGACTGACTGGAAAAAGTCCAGTGGAGAGTGACAAAAAAAATATATTAGAAATCCAAAAAACATGACTTATAAGAAGAGGCTAAAAGAACTAGGACTGCTTAGCCTTAAGAAGACTGAGGGGGATTTGGTAACAGTCCTCAACTACTTGAAAGACAATTAAAGAAAGGATGGAAATAGATCTTCTTTGCAGCCTGAAGGAACAGGACAAGGAGCAATGGTCTTAAGTTGTAACAAGGGAAATTTAAGTTGGATATCAGGAAGAACTTTCTCTATAAAAGGCTGTTAAGTATTGGACCAGGCTGCCTAGAGAAGTTGTGGAATGTTCCAACTTGGAAATTTTAAGAGCAGGTTAGACAAACCCTTGGCTGGGATGGTTTATTTAGTCAGGGATGATTCTGCCTTGAGTTAGGGGTTAGACAAGATAACCTCCCGAGTTTCTTTCCAGCCTTACTTTTCTATGATTCTATTAGAGAGTCAGAAATCCACACAACCAATTCTTAGGTGCATGTTATACAGGCTTGACAATTTAAAAAAGGAAACTAACCCTCTCCTTAGTTACTAAACAACTGAAAAGTAATTCATCACCTAAGTCTTATGAGTACCATCTCCTGCTTATTTCAAAATACAGAAATTTGTTGAACATTCCTGGTTTTTCATATCATTGCCAATTTTAACATCACCACCAGAACCAAGGCAGGGCAGGGCAGGGCAGGATGTCTGTTCATAACATCAGATAAAGTAGCATGTCACTTACAAAAGCTTGTGCCTTTCTAAGCAAGTTCATTTTTAGGACCATCCTGCCTGCTCTGTCTTCAGCCAGACTTCAGACTAACACTGCTATCCAGCTCTCTCTATATCTAGAATAAAAGTCTAAGCATTTGTATGGATTTCTTGTTCCTAATATGTTTTAATCAATTAATCCTTATAGCCTTTCCAGCCAGAAACTGTTTTCCCTAATGCCTTCCAGCTTCCTTTATCAATTTCACACCAGTCATTGTAAATGAGAAAGTACTCACTTTCTTTCCCCATTTTTTTCAATTCCTGCCTTCACTTTTCCTCTGAACCAAGATAAACATATTTTAACACTTTTTAGTCAGTTTTAAATTTACTACAGTATAAAACCATACAGTAGCTGTTTAATAAACTTTTTTTTGTAATCCGTTAATGATTTTACCCCAGAATAAGGGAAATCATGACAAAGGAATTGATTTTTACCTTAAATCTCCATCTAGTAACAACTACAAACTTGAGTGTGTGGTCCTTGCCAAGTATTTCTTCATTGCATAATATATCCAGCTGATGGGAAAAAAGGAAGAAGGATTTAAATTTATTAAGGGACAAAAAACACACTTATAGAACAAGATACAAACAGACAAAAGCTAGATTAAACGTGCATAATTTCCTCCAAAGACAATGGAAAGACCTATCCTTATGCTGTGTGTGAAAAGGAACTTGTAATCTTAACAGAAAAGGGAAAAGGAAAAGACAGGCAAGTTCTACTCTTAGAATTCTAGATCTTGAAGGTATATCCTTGGCAGGAAAGACTCCTGGATTCAGGTCCCTGCTCCAGACGCTGCTCATTCATTTTGTATTTAAGAGTCACTAGTTATAGAACAGTCTCATTTCAGTTTTGTCTATAGCCTGGTGGCAAAAGCACTCCCCCAGGGAAGTAGGAGATGCAGGCCTGAACACCTTTTAGGTGGTGGATAGCTTAAGAAAAAAAAAAAATCATTTCCCACTTCCTGGATAAACATTCAAACCACTAAGCTGAATCATCAGCATAGTTAGCATTGGCTGGTTTTGTTTGTTGTTTTATTTTGCGGGG